CGGCCGCGCAGCTCTCAGCCCCGGTGAGTTTATCAATGAACGGGGGTTCATTCCCAGCCCGAAAGGCAGTTTTTTTATTTTGTTTTGCTTTTTATTTTTTTTTTCCTAAACCCAGAGATAATCGCGGAGGAGTTTATGGTGGCGTTTTTATGGAGCTGCTGGGGCCCGGCATCTCATGAACAGCCCATAAAGTTGTGTCGGTCCCCCGCACTTTTGTGCTCTAATCCGAGCTCCCGAACGCCTTTCCTCGGGTCCTGTTTGCTGCGAGTAACACTGGAGCTGCGCTATACTGTACAGGTTTCCTGCGAAAAATAACGCTGTTAGCTGGCAGGAGAGTAAAAGGCAGCTCACTGATCAGAAATGCGACAATTTAATAATTTCCCGGACATCCCCGTGCCCAAATTAAAGGGACAGACACAGCCGTCGTCTCCAGGATCAGTTTATTGCTTGAGAACCAGAGTACTCGTTGCTAAAGGCCTTCGCGGCTGTGGGGAGCTGAGCTGGGGAGCCAGCGCTGCCGCGGCCGCAGCGCGACGTGGGCCGGCGCAGCACCGCCCTGCCAGCACCCGCGAGCGACACCGAATCATTGCCAACCGTAGTGATTTACACCAGAATCAAGCATCAATCTAATGCCATCACGCAGTCCATGAACTCTGTAGTGTTCTAAATTAAATCAATAAAACATACATTTGTGTTTCATCAACAGACTCCCTAATCACCTTTTAATGTTGTATTTAGTGGTGGGAGAAAAATGTTGGTAACAAGGTTATATTGTAGGCTGCACGGAGCGACTAACCCGAAAATTTACAGTCTTTTTTTTTTTCCTTTAACACTGTATAGATACAGTCTGTGTCCAATGCAGTTGCTACCTGAAGCAGACTATTGTTTTCTCCCGTGTTATTGTTTCAATATAGAATACTTGGCACCATAAAACAGTAACAAAAGACGGACAAAAACAGTTTACAAAATTCTGGAAAGTTACACCCAAACCTAGCTAAGAACTTTACATTCAATCCTTAATATTACATAGAAAGAAGGGATTATAGGAGTAACAAAGTGAAACTGCTAATATATGTGCTATATAGTACGCTATATATCGGTATCCAGGATGGCACTGCTATATATTATTTATTATATAAATGTCGGTTGTTGATGTACACTTAACTAAACCTGCTAAGACTCCAACACTAACTGCTGATATGGCACTCTCAAGCATTCATATTGGAAAGTATATTTAGCGTAAGTTTTGGTCAGGTTTATAAATTATTTATGTATCTGTGTATATATACACATACATACATATATATACACACACATATATATGTATGTATAGAAAGCAGCTGCTGTGTGATTCAAAAACCATGTAACATGGCAGTATAGTAAATAACATGAGAAAAAAATTATAAAAACGAAAAACGAAATACTAAAACTAAAACACAAACCATAAGCGTTGGTCAACAAAGAAAATACCATTTAAAACCATCGGTATCTCTAGCTATACAATCCAATGTACAAAACCCCAAAGTGGCAAAGATAGATCACGTTAGGCTGACACCTTTAAAAGTTTATCATATGCTGAAATAGCTTCTCCACGTCGACAGACACTTACTAAAAGACGGAAATCGTGAAATCTAAAATACAGAACATCTCTGCTGTCTATTTAGAGTTTTGGCAACAGAACTGTGACATAGATATAAAAAATAATCCCACGTTTCTACTCGATGTCACATGAACAGACAGGACAGTGAGGTATGTGAGGCTTCTCTCGACAGCGTCCAGGTGCTGAAGCGGTGCAGGGTCGGCAGCCAGATGTGGCACTCGGACTGGGTTATCGATGCAGTTGTAGGGTTCGTGTGTGTCGGGACAGCGCCTGCCCTCCCTGCTACAGCGCGGTCTCGCGGAAAATCTTCTCGCTTCGTAGGCATCTTTTTCCTGTTGCAGAATTGGCATTTTTTTAAAAAAGAAAAATAAACACAGGGGAAATGATGTAGAAAATATAGACGTAAAGGGGAAAAAAATGATATTTACCACCACATCACTGCACGACACAACACTTGTGCACATTTGCAATAGGTTTACCTGCCCCAGCAGCTATTCGAAAGGACAGGAACACAGGCTGCAGCAAGGCAGGGAAAAATAGAAGTTACACATCTGAAATGCAGACATTTCTTTTTACAGTCAGCAGAAAACACAAGAACAGCTCCTCTATGGACACAACGCAGTCGTTCCCTGCGTTGATCTGACTACAACGTGTGCTCCTCACGGAAACTGGGGGGAAATCTGCCACCAGATCTGTGGGAAGGGGATCGTGCCCCAGACACAACGCCCTCAAAAACAGTCACGTTCAGTGCACTGGGGACAAAGGAAACAAAACCGGCTGTTTCTGAACTGAAACTGCTCGTTTCACTGCAGAAGTCAGTGATCTTCTGAATTTTAAACATTTTACTTGGATAATTCTGGACCGAATACGTTCAGTGCGTTCTTCCTTTGAAAAGCACCAGCGTCTCACAGGACCACGAGGGAAATACGGGTGCGTGGTGGATTTACACACACACACACACACACACACGCACACACACACACGTATTTACCCCTTGTCCATCACCAGTTACCACTCGGAGCCTCAGCACTGTCTCTGGGACTGAGCCACTACCACTGCCCTGCAGTTCACGGGGTTTTGCACATTTCTAGCTGGTTTATATAGGTTTATACAGGTTTATATAGGTTTATACAGGTGTCTTTATGCAGGCTTTCAGAGGCTGCCTCCTTGTCGGTCGGTCTTTTCAACGCAAGCAAACACTGAGCTTTGCTGTGTTTGCAGCTCAGTTTCCAGCAGAGAAATTGTCCATAAAATTCACTTTAACAACTGTACACTTTTTCTCACTTGCTGCTTGAATACGCATCTGCCAATACGTTATTTCACTAATAAGCAGCTAGGCACCAAATGAACTGGAGCTGTGTTTCGGAAGCAGTTCTGATAGCCCAATGGCAACACTGGTGTTTCATGAGCACTGTCCCCAGTGCAGGCAGTTGCTCCCCATTCCACCCTGCTCTGTTCTGTATTTGAGTTCATGCAGCTACCACCTACTCCAATGCTTTAAAACATTTCTGAGGCTTTGAATTAAAGCCAGGACAGAGATGCAGCTGACTTAAATATAAAATGAAGAGAAACTAGCACATACATTCTCCTTCCTAATTAGAGAGACTCAGCAGACACAATACCGAGATGTTGAACTGAATTACCTTGTGATCCCCCATGCAGACGTTTGGCCCAATGTGGTCATATATTACGATCTTCTCATCGTTTTCTGACTAGTTAAAAACACAAACCACAGCGAAACACCAGTCAGTTCAGGTACTCTCCAGGTTACAGAAACAAACAGGGAAATAATTATGATAATATATGTAATTATAATAATATCTATAATAATGATGCAAGTAGTCCAAAGCAGTTTCTGATAAGGCGATATGAACTCATCTGTGTGCAGAATGGATTTCCATGCCCGGTTCTGCTGGCAGTGATTTTGGCAACTGGTCCACATAAAGTATCTCATGAGATCGCTGTGTGCACCCCTTGCTCCGGGACCTTGGGGCATTTTGGCAGCCCTTTTTTTAAGAACACACAATTTTTAATTGAATTAGGTAGGACAGATGCTGTTCTTTGGATTAAATGCAACCCACATTGCCTTGTAAGAGCATTTGGTTTCATCAGACAGGCGATTTTAATGTATTTGCAGCTCATGAATACAGTCTTCACCCATTCCTACAAGATTCACTGCTGCATCTGGAAGAAGCACAGAGTGCCTTAAGGAAGTCAGCAGCAGTGGAGATGACGTTCCCCGGTCTCTGTTATGAACTGCTTTCGTTTTGCTGAACTTTATCCTTATGCACTGACTTCTTTAGCGTTTGTACCTTAATGAGTCATAAAATGCACTCATCTTTCTGCCATCTGCAATAAATGGGATTTTCAGAATCTGCTTTGATTCTCCAGCACAGTCCTTCAGGAATAAATACGAATACAAATACAGCGCCATACAAGACACTTTCTCATTATGCTAAACAACTCCTGTGAGCTAATTAAATCCCCAATCCGCACACAGTCTCTCATACAAGCGTAGATGTGCTTTAAACTAGTTGGCAATACTAATTTATTTTGTAGGAAACAGTCAAGACTTTCTCATCTGTAATCAGTCAAGTCTGACTGGGCAATAACTTTATATAAACAGTAGCATTTAGGACTATAAAGTTAAAACTGAATTATCTTTAATGCAGTAAGGAAGCTTAAGGTCAGATTTACTTTATAGCACGGTTGTCTGCCAAAAATACAAAAACATAACCTTCTGCATTGTATGCATGAGCACTTTCCAATATTTCAAGATCATAATGCCACCACCGTCGGAAGTGGGGACACATTCATCAAACGCGACTTGATAATTTACAAAGGCAGCATAAAATTGTGGGTTTTCGACTGCGTAATCTTTAGACAGATAAACAAATTACAGCGGCGCGCGGGCAGGAGCGGCGCACACTCGGCTGAGCATTCATTACTTCACGCTATCAGGCGCCCCCCGCCGCCCCCTCGCGCTGGGCAACCCGCGGTGTTTTGGGGCTCAGGAAGCATAAAATAACACGACGGGGAGGTACCCGCGCGTGGCATGATGGATGGCGCTGCGGGAGCTGCTTACAGCCCGTGGCTGCGCAATCTGCAGCGCCGACTGCCTGGGCAGCGCGGCCGTTTCTGCACACCAGCCCTTCCCACAGAGGATTAACGTGCGGCTTTGCTGCCATTTCTGTCTGAAGTAGAACACGGAATTGCTAAGACAGAAAAATAAATTATCCGCCTGCAAGAAAAATTAATAAAAATTAAAAAAAATTGAATATTAATACCGCATAATTACCTGCATAAGAACTTTCAATAGCTAGTAACAGCTGAAAATTCTTTACAATTCTAACACATGTATATTTTAAGGGTGTTAAAATGCAATCAGGTAATTAAAATATGCTTTCACTTTCTTCACTGCTCCTTGTAAAGCTTCCAGGCGCGAGTCTCTGCAATGGGATAACCTCTCCAGGCAAACACTGCTGGCTGCGGAGAACACAACTCTGAGGTGGTTTTGCCCTTCCCTCTCAGCTCAGCACTCTTTTCCACTGAGTGTTATGGGCCAGAATTGAGCTTGGTTTTGGGCTGGGTGAGCTCTGCCGCTGGTGCGGTCCCACTGAGTTAAACACCCACACCTCAGCTGCATCTGGGACTGCGAATGCGTTTCTGGACACCCCAACTGCCTGCTCCTACCGTGCCAATGCAAAGCTACGGGGCACAACTGCACCCACTTTTAAACGGGAGCCTTGAACGATCCAACTCCCTGGGTGTCTGTTCCAAGGGACCAGGACCTGGGCTAAGTGGCTTCAGTTACAAACTCCTTTAATGCTCTAACTGGGTTTTCCTTTGTTTAATTTTCTCCCATTATAGCCAAGTTATACCCCCCAGATAATCTGAAAGAATTCCTTTCCCTCTGTGCTGTTTACACTCTTCAAGCCTTTGTGTACACTTCTATCTCCTTATTCATAGCTTGAAAAAAAAATCTCCCCTCATTGGCCAATCTTTCCATGGTTTTAATCCTTTGTTTTTTAGGAATTTCATGGGCGCCAAGTACTATCTGTAATATTTTGGGTAAAGTCTCACTTTTTCCTATGAGATTTCTGTATAAGAAGACCAAATAACATTGATTTTGATATTACTATTTTACTACAAAGCCTGTATTCCTCTTAGCTTCACTATTTTTTAATTAAAAACTGCAGTACATGCGTTGCCTAAAATTTTGGGTGGAACTTCAAGATATCATTCAGACATTTCCTAGGCATTAAAATGTGTGAGGAAGTCCACTGAACTGAAATTTGAGTAGCTGTGGAAAAAATGTTCTCGCCTTTCGGTGAGTTATATACTGCAAAGCAAACAGCCTAATCAGGAGATAAATAACCCTGATGAGAGAGAAACAGAAGGTCAGAAACTCCAGAGGAGCAAGTTTCGAGGGTTTCATTATTAAACAGAAAAATAAAAGCCATGAAGCTGCAGAATATGGACTCACTTGCAAAGATTATTCTCTGCAATTCACTCTCGTTACACTGTGTTAGTTCTATAGGAAAATACACAGATGACTCTGGGCAAGCTGGGGTTTGGCAGGTCTGCTGTGTGCGAGGCAGCCACACAACCTGGGCAGCACAACTGGATGTGGCAGTGCTGCAGTGCAGACCCCTGCACCGTCTCCTTGCACTGAACACCGGTTCCTGACCTGCTCCCGGTCCTCCAGGAACAACCGACAGCCGGTGTCAACAGGACGGGTTCTCTGGGGCCGTGGACAACCGGAGAGCAGGGGCAGGGTGTGCTGTGTATGTGAGTGGCTGTGCCCTGGCCCAGTGCTCCCAGGGAACCAGAGAGCAGAGTGGAGTGAGGAGAGAAAACGAGGAAAAAGGGAACTAGGAGGGCTCCTGGACTATATTTAGGTCACTCAACCTTGCACAGAGTTCACCTTACCTCTGTGCACTAAAATCCCAAGATCCATTAGAGTTTTGGATTCACCCAGGGGCTGACATTCTCTTGGGAACCCCCTTTCTCGCCACCAGCAGCAGAGGGGACCCACCCGTACCACCCTGGGCTGCTGCAGTGCAGGGCTTCCTTCATCAGTGCTGCTCCATCAGCAGCCGCCCGGGCACCTCTGCTGTGCCGAGCCCTTGGCATGGGCAGTGTTGGTTTTGTTACTGCACAGTGGACAGGACTGGGGGGCTGAGGGAGGGTTTTGGGTTTCGTTGGTTTTAAAGCAGGCAGTTTCCCAGTCTGGCTCATAAACAGCACAGCACAGCTCTGAGGCACAGGAGGCGATGTGTGGCAGCTCCAGTTCTGGTAGCACTGGTGGGTTAACTGGGACAGCTCCACATTCCCAGGGGAGAGCACTGGTAGTGGTTTATTGTGGCCATGGTTCGCTGTCTCCAGCATTCGCTGTGACAACTGAAGGGCAGGCAGCAGCATCCCAGCCCAAGACAAGCAGTGGGGAGGCAGCGGGGCCGCACTCACCTTCAGGATGAGCTCCTTGGCCGAGTGGGACATCAGGATCCTGTCGCACCAGGCGGGACACCGCGTGTTCATGTACTGCTTGCCCTGGCTGGAGTCCTCGCTGTAGGGGTAACTGCCAACACAACAGACACTGTTAGCAACTGCTCAGAGCAGCCTGAAACCCCAGCCTCGCATCACCACACCAATTAAAAAATTAACTGTCAAAAAGCAGCTCTTTTAGACACCTCATTTACCTTTCTCTTCTCCTCCTTTCTTTCTGATGCACTTTATTTCTCTTTTCATATCCACAATCCTACTTTAGGCCAACACATGAAGACACAGTTTGAAATCTCACCTCCTTCCTTTCATTTTCACAGGTGAGTGTTCAGAGAGAGCAGACCATTGATTTATGTGAAAGCAGGAAAATGAGCTCAACAACAACTCAAGTACAGTCTAGGCTGTTGGCTATGACTATGGAAATGAATAGGCAGAGGATGAAAAAGGAAACCTAGGGGAAAAAATGTCTGTTTAATGGGATTTCTTTGCTTGACTCTCTCAAGGAGAGTGATCCAGGAATAATTAAACAGAAAGCAGAGGGCAGAGCTGGGATCTGCAGCTGCACCCAAACCCCGTCCATAGAGACCATTCCCAGACCATTCCCAAAGTGGCACAGGTGAGGAGCTGAACAGGGGGTTGGAGAAATCCAGAGGGTTTGGGACAGCCTCAATTTCTTGACTATTGGGCCTGAATGAGTTGAAGTTTGTCCTTGATAAATGCCTTTAAACAAAACCCATAAGGCTGGTGCATTTTATCTACACAAGTACGTGTGGGTGTATTTAAAATAACATTTGCCTTTCATTCTGCTCATCACTGAATACGTACAGGAAACATCGAGGTTTTCCTGATACGCATGTTAAAATAGAATTTCTGGCGTTGTAACAAAAGGGTTTGCATGCTTGAAGAGAAACTTATTTACCACCCTCCTTGGTGCGATACCCTGAAACCGAGACGTGCCGCTCTCTGCCAAATGGGCTTACAAGCGGCAGTGCCATTAGAAAGATTAGCCATGGCACACGTCCAGGGAAAACTGAACAAACCAGTGATCTCAGTACCTTTTCCACCTCATCAAACCTAACAAGACTCATTTTCAAAACATATTATGAGAATTCAATTTGCTGCTTCACTGACATACAGAAGTACAGCTTATTTCTGGTGTCTGGGAAATATTTGGGTGATGTAATTCTATTGGTAGGAGAAGCTCTTTGTCTGCGATTTAAGGGCTGACTTTTCCTGGTAACCTCTTGCTTTAGTTACTCAGGAACCCCATGTAAGTGAAGCAGCTTTTTATGCCATAAGGTGCACGAATCAATCACCTTTCATACGATCCTGCCTTTTACAGCATTAACTGTATGGCTTTTAAAGTACGATGTTCCCTACCTGGAGCGATCTGTTACTGCCATGTGTTAGAGCATTTCATCCCAGAGCCTATATTCTGTGAAATGCTATTTATCAATTTGCTTTATTGATCTTAATGTTTTCACAGGCTGAAAACTTCTGCCAATTTTTCAAGGTCCTTAGCGCTGATCAGGAAGTTACTGCTGTTTACAAATAACTTTGACAAATCAGATTTCTAACAGCCGGGACTGAGATGGAAATAAATGCTGCGAAAGTTATCCAGACAAAATGATCTGTAGGTCGTAATTTAATACAATAAAGTGGGCCAAGCTCTTCTTTTTATAGGGCAGCATCGTTCCTGCAGGCCAGGTTTGCGGAGCATCTGTCTTGCTGCTCCCTAATGGAAAAGGCTTCTCTTCCCCACCACCTCCTTGGCTTCTGTGCTCCTGGTGAAACACTGACATAGCGACACAAAAATCCTAACTAGATATATCCCCAAAATGAGGAAAACGAGTCGCTCTCCTCCTTCATGCTCTAGGGGGGTCACATACCTTTAGAATAAGCAGGCTTCTTTTGTGGATGATCCCAAAAAGTCATCATAGCTAAATATGATTCAAAACTGCTTTTTTGTGACTTTACAGGTCTTGGTGACAGGACAGTTTAGTTTATTATATGTCATCTTAAATAGATTTTTGCAAATAAAAGCTCTACCAGAGGTTTCTGGACTAGGACCGTCACTGGAGACCTTTTTCACGGAACATAGGGCTGAATGCACACTAAATGAAATAAAAGTTTTCAACCACACACACTCGGGTAACTGTTCCCATCCTCCTGTTCTGTAGTTAAATGAATGGGAATGAACACCGTGACACTTCCAGAGCCGGATCATCCTCCTGTGAACTCTGCAGCCTCCTCCCCTGTGGACACTCGCACAGGACACTGCCTCCCCCAGACGCCCCCCACCAGCCGGTGGGACCCAAACGACACAGAACAGTCGGTGGAGGACACAGGCGGACGCACGGGCATTTCACCTGGCCAGGCTGATCCTGAGGCTGCCGTAACGGGAAGATGTTGCAGAAATTGCATCCCATTTTCAGTCCCACACACAAATCCTCACCTGGAGCCTGGGGCCGGCACATGGGGACTCAGGGCCAGGGCTGCAGGGCGCCCCATGGGACATCAATGGGACAGCACGGACCGGAAAACACAGGACATGAATTCAGGAGCTCACTGTGCTGCTGCCAAAGCAGCAGCAACACCGTGTTTGTCTCCCGGTCTTTTATGGATTTATGTTGGGCTCATTGCTGTATTTGGAAACATACATATGGAAAATACACATCTATGGTGTGCTTGGAGCTAACACTTGTGATCACCAGCGTAACTCCCAGTTAAAACAAGGGAAACCCAGAGCCCCTCTCTCTTCCCGGCGAGCAACAACCAGCCCTGGACTTTCTGCCCAAAACGCTCCCATGGAGAAAACCTCCCCTCGCTGACTACCAACACCCCGCAGCCAAACCACGGCAACAGCGCAAACACCAGTGAGTGCTCGCACCACTACACCAAATCAAAGCAAACTTCTTTACTTCATCGATCTTCCTCTCTTTTTCCCTTTGCCACAATTCCTTAAGACAAACAGAACTCCTTCCTTGGGTCATTCTATCCAGTTCCTCGCCCTATTTTTATTTGGAAATTAATTGAGAATTATGGTGCAGTGCTAATTAGAGCCGAGAAAAGATACACATCATTGTGCAACCTACTAGAATAGAAGAAGGTCATGGGACAAAATACAAGGTAGAGCACAAATGGACTATGGACTAAGGGGATGCTGGCAGAAGGGAGCAGAGGTCACTCCAAAGCAGAGGCTCCCCCGTCGACGAGCGAGGGCTCTGCTGAGAGCTGCCACCGCCGAGACACAGCTGGGATGGAGGGGCTGCCCCAGAGAATATCACACCGGGGATCTGAGGCACAAACACACGTCCAACCGGTAAATTACAGGACAGCCTAATGCAACAACAAACACGAACAGGTCACTTTAAGAGAATGATTAATACGTGCGATTACTGTGCACGCAGCCTTATCTGAGAGCAAACCTTGTAGGTGGGTGTGAACCCTTGCTAAAGTCAGCTCCTATCTTTGCCATACAACAGCTACAAGAATAATTATAATAATTAATGGAGAGCAGCGATAAAGGTAACAATTGCCCACCTGTATACTGACTGACCACAATGTCGTTACTGCTGTTTTCACACCTACCGCTTGCGCAGCGGCTGACCGCGACCCCTGTCCCAGCCGTTGGCTGACGCCGGCTGCTCGCCCACGGCTGACAGGGTTTAACTTTCTGAACCGTGTTTGGTCTCCAGTGGCCGAGGTTGCCACGGGCTACGTTAGATTACAAAGGGTAACGAGAGGAAAACGTGACTATCCACTGTGTAAAGTAAAAGGCCTCAAAATATAGGATATAGGAAGGGGTGGGTGATGCCTGAACAATCCCCGTTAGCAGGGCTGTCTGTAGTGCGTGTGAAGGCAGTGGACGTGTACCACAGCCGGGGTTTCTCGCTCTCGGGGAACAGGCGGAGGAAGGCTGTGCGTCGCTGGAGGAGTGCGGTTGGTGACCCTGCCTGCAGCGCAAGGGAGCCGAGTGACGAGGGGGTTGGCAGGGGCTGACCCCTTGACTGGGAGAGCAACAACCGGTGCAGCTGTGCCCCGCGGGCTGGCTGTGGTGGCTGCAGGACAGTCATGCAGGGAGGACGGAGGGTTCACACGATGGAGCAGACAAATGGTCTGGCACTAAATTACAGTTTTGCATGGGGAGAACGGTAGTTTTGGTTTGTTTTGTTTGGAGTTTTGTACGTACGTCTGCAGAAAAGCTATTTCCAGATGTGGTGGTAGGAGAGCTCGGAGTGGCCTGGGACCCTTCCCACACACAGAGCTGCCGGGAAGTCCCGAAACCAACGTGCACTGACACGGAGCCTGTCCAGACCCTGCGGAAACCCGCCTGCACATGCATTAATTTACTGGGCTGCCTTCATACCATTCCATTTATAGCTACAGATTCAATCTATACCTACAGTACACTATAAATTTGTATAGAACTATTATTATATATAGAATTATAATCTATGCCTGCCAAAGTTAATGTATAATTAAAAATAGTAATGTATTTATGTAAAATCCAACGAAAGCCATTTGCATATTGCTTAGTACCTTGAAAACTTAGAAGTGAATCGCTGCTTTGAAAGGGCAGGAAGAAAGTCAAATTGTGGATTAATGCCTAGGCAAAGCCAAAGAACTTCCATTTAATTTATACCCAGGTGATACCAAGGGGGTAATTCTGAAACCCCTCATTCACCTGCGCCGTATCAGCCTCGCCAGGGCTCTGCTCTGCACTCCTAGGACTGGTTGTTGTATTTTGCCCGGTGGCTGTTTGCTGTGAAAGGCAGAGACGACGCTGGGAGCAGAGCTCACCCCGCTCCTGCCCTCACAGGCGATGGCCGCATCCTCCGCTCTGCTCTGCGCTGCCTTCTTGGCCTCGCGTCTGCTGTACCCAAAACGAATAACCCAGAGCAGGGGGGCAGGAAAATACCCCAGAACAGCCTGACAGGGCGCTTTCCTGCTCCTTGCTGTTCTCGTGTCAGGTTCCAACCCATAGTAAATGTCAGTGGTCATTATAGACTTATCCAAAACCAAGCCCTCTTATGAAGAACTGGGTGTCCAGCACTGGACACGTGGGGTCTCCAGCAGCACAGGGGGGTCAGGACTGGGATCTTGCGCAGGGAAGCAAGGTAGAGGATGGGTCAGTAACCGTGCGGTGTGTTTCCACCTATCTGTATTCATACCTGAGCTATCTGCACCACGGTGTAACTGCAAACGGTGTATCTGTGCATGGTGTACCTGCACCATAGTGTATCTGCACCATGGTGTACCTGCACATGGTGTATCTGCACATGGTGTACCTGCACCATGGTGTATCTGCACATGGTGTACCTGCACATGGTGTACCTGCACCATGGTGTACCTGCACCATGGTGTACTGCTGCTCTAGGAGTGGTGTGAAAACCAGCCAAGAAAGCTGCTGAGGGTGAAATGCTGTGTGCGCTGAAGTTAACCACAAAAATACCACTGGCTCAAAGGAGGAAAGCTTTCAACCCCGAGCAGCTGTGGTGTGTATCAATAAGATCTCATGATAACATCCAGAGAATAAACAGTTTATGCTGATAAAAAATGAATTTGTAAGTAACTTGGTCTGCAGCAACTCAAAGGGATGTGACCTTTTCCATTTACTCCAGGGTACGCTGAATCTCAAGCACGCTTTTTGAGGGAGAAATTTACAAGTGAGATGGGAATGCAACTGTGCTATTGATTTGTAGAACTCTGTGTGCAAATCGGGCCATTAATTGTATGCACAAATGATGAAGCAACTGCAAGAAAGAGAAAACTGTCCTAACTGATCTCTCATTCTTTGAGAGATGTGGAAGGTAGCGCTGGATGTACTCAGTACCACTCTAACCGAGATACTCTGTCTTCAGCTGTTGGCCAGCATCCCGTGGTGTAACACCATGGATCAGGAACAGAGCAGAGAGTAATTCACAGGCTGGATCAATGGATATTAAAGTATCGTGTATAAAAGAAATTCTGAAGTCCTAAGGCTTGCAGTACAATTGCTTACGATGTCCTCCTGAACCCGAGCGCTCGCCATCCGAGCGTGGACGCCTGACACGAGGAGTGGCCGGAGCTTTCTCCGTGCGCCCTGCAGTGAAAAAGGCTTTGTCTGAGGCAGAACAAACGGGTGCACCAACGCTCCCAGTGAAGAATACCAACACTTAAAGAAGTAGATTCTGAATATACAGGATGGATCATATCCTCCTTGGGTTACAAACACAAAATCTAGTATGACCAGATATATGACACATACTTACAAACAGTGCATAAAAGCAGCTAAGTCATGATAAACCGCAGTTGTTGGGGCTTTTTTTCCAGAAGAAAAGAAAAAATGAGGAGGAAAAACTACCAGAAAGTGAAACCAAGACATTTAGGCCATATATTTAATTCCTTTCCTGCATGAGTGAAAAGGTTCTAAGTTAAAAAGAAAATGCCCTACGTTAAAACCACTGCTTTTTGCCTATTCAAAATACCTGGTTTTGCAGTTAACAGCACGTTGTGGTCATCACTTCAATGTAAAGGGAAATAAATCATATTATTTATTGCAGGAAAGCCGTGTGCTTGGTTTCCTGAGCAATCCCAGGACGCTGCCTGCAGTAACCACGGTGCACCCAGCAATGCCGCACCACCGGGCACGGCCTCGTGCTGCTGAGTGCAATGGAGCGACGGGTGTAAAACCCCAATATACAGCTGATTTCCTCCTTGGGCATGCACCAGTTTAGCTTGTTGGTTTTACATCTTGTATTTTTAGCAATATTCTCAAACACTGCACTGCGGTTTGGGGCAGGAAGTGAAGAAAACCACCAAATTCAAGTACAGCAAGGGTGCGGTTGGGGAGGCGGAATCCCATCACCGGGACTTTGGCCAGAACATCTGTCTAGACATGCATGCTCCTACAAAAACGTTATGGGATCTCTGATGGCGCAGAGCGGTCAGGATTGTGGTTTTCCTTCTGATTTGAAAGACACCAGAAGCTGGAGCAATGGGACCGCTGGTGGCTGCCCCAAGCAGGGCCCAGCTCTGGGGATGGGGCCGTATCGAAATGCCCAGGGCAGGCGCACGATGGCCCCGTGCTTGGGGAGCGAGGGGTGAAGCAGGACCCGAGGCCATCACACCCTGCAATGCAGAGCAATGACAGACATCACCTCCGCCACCTCGACTCCAGCTCTGCAAGCCAAAACTGAGCTTATTTCATCTCAGTAGTGGTGGTGTGTACAAACAAAACATGGGTACGGGCTAGACTTGGCTTTGGCTGTGCAAGGACACAGAAAGAAGCAGTAACATGGAGAGGAGAGGGCAAGGACAAGTCACCACCAGACGCTGCCGAGTGCCCTCCCTGACGGCACCACGGCCTCAGGGGCTGCTCCCGCACTGCCCTGGCCACTATCACTTATCACTTATCATGACTTCACCCATATCACAGAGACTTCTTCCATTTCACTCTTACGTCAGCCAGACCAAGTCAAAATCTGTGCTCCATCCACAGGGATTTCTGGTAAGGAACATTTCCACCTGCTCTTGCATTTTTGTACCAGGGGTGTAGCACTGCGTTGAATATTTGTGTTATTTCCCCTCACCTCCTTTTACCCTGACCAGGTACACAAGCACTGAAACACACGCAGACATACACGCTGCTGGTCCTCTGTTACCGTACTCAATCAATAAGAACAATTTAGAGCGGCGCTAACCTCTCCATGCATACTTCCACTGTCCCGAGGGATCAATATAATCAGTATCGCAGCTGGCTGCTGGGAAATAATGAGATTATGATAACAAAAAGGCAAGCTTTCCAAATTTCTTCTCAGTGCATGCCAAAACATCACACTTCTCTCTCTGTCCGTAAAGGACATTGTAGAATACAGACATAAAGAATACTGTACCTATTTAAAAACAAGTATATAAAATGTATGATGTTACCTATGGTTTCTTCAACTTTAACATTCTTTGCAAATGCAGTATTTATTTCCCTTAAAAAACAACTGTGAGATTTGAATTCTTCACTCTTGGAAAGGGGCCATACATGTTTAAAACTGTACCGAATTTTCCACAGATTTCTCCTGAACAGCACCACCACTTCCCAAAACATCTTGTGTTTGTAGGACAGCAATAGTTGTCTATTCATGGCTAAAATTCACCAAAGGGACACAGCTGATGAAAATCACGCATGTCACTGCACTGTCACTGCCTGTGGAGGGATGGAGGGGATGTGGGGACCCGAAATACTCATGGGAGGAAGAGAGATCACCATTATAACTTCTACAACATGTACGGGAACACACATTTCACCTATAGTAACAGTTATGTTTCAGCTAGCTACTAAAATAAATGGATTATGGACGACTCTTACCTGGGAGGAAATGAGATGTCCAGTTCATACAATCTGTCCTTAAAGACTGAGAGCTCTCTGTCAAATTCTAAAAGCTGTAAAAGGCAGAAATAAACACAGTCGCTCTTTAATGTTGAAGCAATTTAAAAATACAACTTCATATAAAAGGAAATAAACAGAGACTGTGAGGTATATCTCTCATGTAATAGTGTTTAAAACACAGTGCCACTCGGTACTGTTTCAATACACAAACAGTTCATTGAGAAAAGTGTTTAAAATCCTCCTTTTCATCCCAGTGAAGCACTTAATGCCGGCTCCTTACAGCAGTGACCTGTACATACACTTGCTATTTCAAAGTCACTAATTTTTTTCAAATTTTATTGGCAATCTTTTCAAAGATAAACCAGACCAGCATTAAAAAGTCCTGCAAACTGAAATGGTGACCAGCCACACAAATGCCAGCAAGAAGTCTCCTATTCGTGTGTGTTATCTTTAGGTGAGATAAGGAGGTACAATACACACAGGGATGTGCACATCACTCTTCTGAGCAAAGACAAGCGGTGATTTTGCACACCTATTTTGGGTGGTGTGTGTCAGACAGGGGGTACGTGACAGTGGGTGAGCACCACACACCAGAGCAGGCATTAAAGGAGATGTGCGCAGGGGCAGATTTAATGTCCTGCAGAAATATCAGTCCTTGCCAAATCTGTTCTCCCCCAGACCTCCATGGAGAAAACAAATTCCTGCAGTCTTCTGTTCATGAACACAAGCCCGCTCATAACCAGTCAATGATAATCATCCACATTAAGCCCATAATTGTTCTGATGGACACCAACGACCTCATTTCGGAGGAAGGCTGGTGTGAAGCCCGACGTCGAGTGAATTAGCGAGTTCAAAGACAAAAAGCCCATAATCTGCCATGGCTCCAGCGCCACCGCGGGTCCTGAGGAGCGCGTCCCCCACCGCGGTGTTTGCCCCGTCCATTAATCATGTCCCATCCCACAGCTGCGCTGATACCATTGTACGAGTGGCAGCGGTTCCCAAAGAAATGAGATTGTGTCCCTGTTCCCCTCCGCCACCTCATAAATCATTCCTGAAACCTGCAATTAGCAGCTACTTGTACACATTAATTATCTGTGTGAAAAGCAGCTACCTGAACCACCTGCGCTGATTAGCTGCCCCTCTCAGGCCTGCCCCGATACATCCCACTTCTGCAGGGCGTAGCGGGCGGCCTTCCCCGTTTTGGTGCATCTGACACCAAACTGAGGGCACGCTGGAAAAGATTTTGGAATACGACCAACCACAGATAATTTGTACGTGTTTCAACATCAGATCAAAGGCCTGAGTATCCAAGGTGTTTGGATAAATATTTATAAACATCTGTGCGGAAACTTACGGTACACATCCAATAACGTGCCCAATCAAGAATGCTGGGATGGTTCAGCCACTGTTCTTACTGAAGCAACCTCAACATTCTTCAGGAAAAAACGGTTTATCAAGCTTGTTTCCAGACGGAGACCCTGCATCTCAGGATGTATAGGTGGCTGTGCAGCCACAACGCGTACACCAACTGTATGTTGTGAGGACCAACGTCACCACCCCGCTCCTGCTCCATGGGCTCCCCCTCACAGGTATTACCTCCCTAATGTGCATCCAGCACAGCAAAACTCCACCACCCCATTAACACTTTATTTGAAATAGCTGTTATTAATACAGAGCAAACACATTTTCCCCACTGATGGGAGCAGGGAGGTGGAAGCCCCAGCAGAAAGGGCTGTTTCTGCAGGGAGCAAACAGCCAGCACCGACTGAACAACGCTGCCCCGCACAGGGGTGTGAATTAGGGCACGGCTGGGGCTGGTCACGGCTGCGCTGTCCTCTCACACCAACTCACGCTTCCCACATGTGATGCATTCAGACTGCCCTTGCTGTGATGATGCTCACAAGCTCAACGAAGGCAGGGGTGCCAGGACACAGCGTTCGCCGTGTGTTATCATCCCCAGAAGTTTCTGGTGCTTATCCACTGCAGCCACTCATTTGGCCGTGCCTGTGCGTGCGGACGCTGCTGACGCCGCCACAGAGAGGGCAGTAATGGGAACATGACCACACTGTGTGCTGGGCTCCCTCTGGGCTCCCCGGGGAGGGGACAGCTTTGACCAGAAACAACGAAGCCAAAGCCTTGCGGTGACCCCGCCGGATGTCACAGCCCAAGCGGTGTCTGTAGAAACACCTGGGGAACACTTGGAGCTATTTTGTGCTGCAATTTAAATAATGAATTTTAACAAATTAACCATTTTTCCTAGCTACGTCATGGTGTCTGTAACCTCCTGTGACTGCACAGACATGCGCTAGCCCCCAGCGGCAGCAAGGGGTGTCCATGTGTGAACCCCAACACTGCTCTGGGTGCACCCGGCAGCGCTGTGGGGTGCGGAGATGGGGGAGAAATGATGAGAACCCGAACTGAGCATTTTGGGAAAACTCCAGCCCCTTTTTCAGTAGAAGGGCACGTTTTAACTATCCCTTTTTTCAGTATTAAAAGCACTTGGGTTCCCATCGAAGCCTGAAATCTCAAAATAGAAGATTACTGGTGAAAAACCAAGGTGTTCGCTAGGTCTTGCCCCAAACAGTTACAAATGTCCCTTTTGTCTCTATTTTTAAAGCATGTAGCATTGTAAAAACAGCTGGGACATACTCTATTCATGGCCATTTTCAGCACTAACCGATCACTTATTTCCATACTAAAAAGCACCGTGAATTCCATCATCGCTGTAACAGCAAACTTGAGTATGTCTGTCACTCTAAATGCCTTAAAATGACAGAGAAATTAAGTTCAAAGCCTAAAAATCAATGTATTGTTCTATTTAACCTACTCATTAGAAGATCATCCTTAAGAACCAAAGGTGCTCCATGGTGTGCTGGGGTAATTTAAGGAATCAGAGATTTTAAAACACCATGGTGGAAGTTAATTCCAGGACCGTCCATGGGTTTTTTTCCCCAGCTCAGTTCCACCGATGTGTTTATACCTAAAGGACAATGCAGGGCCCATGTTTTAACTGCTGTAGCCACTGAGCTGCTGATGCTACATCCAGGCACTTGCTGTACAGTGCCCAGTGACATGAACGTTTGGCTGCCACCTCCCGAATGAAAACCACCTGCACGTACGAGCACAGTGTGTACAGCCGGCCAGTACCCACGGGGAGCACAGCCGTGCAGCGCGCGTCAGGGACTGAGGAACCCTCACAGGGCAGAACACAACGTCTAAACCAGGCTGTTTAATTTATTGCAGGACGTTGCAGCCTGAAGTTACGTGTTTCTGCTCAGCAAACGTCAGGAGCCAAATGCTCCCATCAGTTTGTACCAAGCTCCTACTGACCTGAGTAGGAACTGGATCGGTACAGTGAAGATTGCAGGTAGAGCTGGACAGACAGTGTGGGTACAGCTGGACGGACTGTGTGGGTACAGCTGGACAGTGTGGGTACAGCTGGATGGACGGTGTGGGTACAGCTGGACAGTGTGGGTACAGCTGGATGGATGGTGTGGGTACAACTGGACAGTGTGGGTACAGCTGGATGGACGGTGTGGGTATAGCTGGACGGATGGTGTGGTGCTTCCCCCGGTGTCTCCAGTGACCCCCTTGCCCCATGGGCTGCCGTCCACTGCCCCTGTAGCTATGGGCCCCGTGTGGTTATGCAGTGTGTGCTTTGGCCAAAGGCAGCAATCACTGGAATGCTAGATTTCGGTATTACGTGGCGTGGCAGCAACCGAAGGATTGTAACAGAGTTTAGCAGCTGTAGAAACCAAGGTAATTTTGCTCGCTGCAGTTCAAAGCGAGGAGGAGCTCCTAGCAGGTTGGTGTCCATCGGTATGCTGCGATGGGCCACCCTGGCTAAAATCACATGCGTACGAACCCTTGAAAAGAGGGCAACTTAATTCAGTCATTGGAGTAGAACAACGGCAATTACTCATCAAGACCTGCAGAGCAGCGGTGGATCAGGAGGTGATATTAGCAGCATTCATCAAACCATCTGCAGGGCCCACCAGAGAATTCACAGCTGCGAGAGAGAAATGAAGTTTCAGACCAAAAAGAGGAGATGAGCATACAGAAATGACCTTAGAGAATTAAAATACGGGGACACTGGTCACCGTAACCTCCTCTGCCAGGCTGCTGTAGCACGGGGGGGGTTCAAGAGAATTTGGAAATGCAGTGATTTCATTCAGCTTTGCAGTCAAAGAGTCAAAGTCTAAATGTTTATTTAGAAACGGATTCAGCAGCCTCCTGACTCCAGATAAAGGTCTGTGGAAACGCTGATCCCTGCCATGGATCCATGAAAACATCAAACACAGCTCTGATCTGCCCTTATTGTAAAGCTACTGCTTTCTCTAGCTAAGACTTTGTAAAATGATCCATTACTGTTATTTTGAATCACAATTTTCTCATAAAGGCTTTCTTTAAAATCATGTTTAACCAAAAAAGCCAAAATTACTGAATATAAATGCACCACTCACACTGCTTTTGTGTATTATTATATTATACATACAATATGTTACGCATATCTCTGACAACTTGTACATCTGAATGGCAGTGCTGTCAAACCATTCACTCCTACACAAACGTGGATTATGGCACAGAGAAGCAGCCCCAAAGACTTTTCTCAGACCAGCAGGCAGGACAGGCCGTGCAGCACTGACAGCACTGCAGGCTCCCCGCGCCTGTACCTGCTCCAAAAATCCCCCATTTCAGGGGAAGCTCCCAGGAAAACGCTGTTCTGTCCCTGTTTTGATGCCTCTGTCTCCCAGGGGACACCTCAGTGGTTTAAAGGACACGAACATTTTCTAATAAGTATTCCCACTTGTTCAGAAAACCGCTCTGGAAAATGCATTCAGAAATAGTATTTCTGCTACGGAAATACCTAGATTGCTTCACATGTCTAGAAAGAGCCACGCTTTCCCTTGATGTCTATTGATCCCTACAGTAATTACTGGAGACGCTATCGGCTCTGTCTCATTAGAGCTCCCTGTGCCGTCTCCTTGCCCGGTATCTCGCATACTCATCCTCCTCACCCTTCCCATCCTCCTCATCCCCTTCATCCCCCTCA